TTATTTTCCTTATTTTAAGAGGAAGAGCACTTGCACAACTTCTCAGTTTAAGAGACAGTAGTCTGGTCTCAGTGTTGGAAATGTAGCAGCTGTTCTGTATTTACAGTTTTAATAAAATTAAAGAATGCTTCTGGTGTCACTTAAGTCTTATTGTAAAATTGTTTTTCTAATTATTAATCTGAGATTAAGGTACTAATTCTTAAACTCTGCTCCATAAAGTGACCAAGATACTTATTTCACAAAAGTCTGTCTTAAATAACTGAGTTTTTATTGCTTCTAATAAGCCCATTGCTTACATTTTTAGCTTTTTCTCTGGTTTTAGGGCCCATTACAGTATTTCAGTGACTAGATTTATATGATAGTTTTAAGAATTATAGCCAAGTAAAACCTCATTGGCATTTCTTTTTTGCTCAATACAAGAAAATGTGATAATGTTTAGCAATATTTGGCTTGTTTCTTCAAGGGCTGTTTTTTGCACTGCGCGCTTGTGTAAAATGCAGAGAAACCTGTCAGAAGAATCAGCATTAGGGAATTGTGGAGAATCACTGATGTGGAACATAATCTGTTAGGTGTGACTGTAAGTGACTTTCTATAGAACATACTCTACATTTGCTTTGATGTGTAATGTCAGTAACATTTTTTTAAATATCCCTATGCTATTTCTCTGATATCAGTATTGGCTTTTTACTTCTTTCTACATGTATTTTAGTCATCATATAATAAACATTATGTTGTAGTATATCAAATGTCACAAACTCACTGTTGGAGTTTGTGACATTTGATATTGTATATTTTAGTCTCCATATCTCATCCAGACGTTCTCCAGATAACAGCAAGAATGCGCACCCACATCAGGATCAGCATACCCAGATGTAGACCAGCCAAACAGAATGACACACAACACTGCAGCATTATCGGCCATTACTGCCGGTTCACTGGCATGACAAAAAAGCCCTATGCCTTTTAAGTTTTGAAGCCTGGGTAGATGTGTAAAGGGCAGACACACATTCGTCGTGGAGAATGGTGGTCAGACATCCCTCCAGTATATTAAATATACCAAATCAGGCACATTTGTTCCTCTCTGTGTTAAACTGACCCCAGATTGCACTGTATGTATAGCATTCACCGTTCACTGAACACGTCCTGCTTCATCCTGGTACACGTCAGCCACCAACAGCAAAGACAACAGCTGTGTGCGTGGCTCACAAGCTCTCCCCGAGGTCAAGTCTGTGTCCTCCTCGTGCCATGTGTCACTCAAACGCAGTCTGTTTGAATCACTTACTTGTTTGACTCATCCGGACTATTATTTTTTTCAGTGCCTTTTGCAAACTGGATTTGCTTTTAGTCATTTAGCTGAACAGTGTGGCTGTGCAGGTAATCATTGTATTGTCAGTCCAAATCCAGACACATTCTGAAAGGTGGCAAAAGGTGCAATCTGCTACTAGTGTGCACAGAATGCTCTGTGTCCTGCATCTGTTTCACTGCAGAACAAGCTTGTGAAATGCAGAAATTAGTTGGTAGATGGTTTTTAACTACAGTCTGACACTGTGACACTGGCTTGTTTGCCAAAGTAAATACAATTGCTATAATTAAAGCACACAATGTATCACTGCAAAACATTACACTACACATTAAACTAAACTGCATGATTTGCTGCAAAGTTAATAAGGTTATTAAGCCAAGATCATTACCCGGACTTCTTTTGCAGCATGAGTGAACGTGAAAAAGAGGGTTCTTATTCCACTATCCCCCATTAAAATCATCATCAAGTCTGATCAATCCATGGATTACCACTTGAGCTTTACTTGTGTACTGAGTGTTCCAGGTGTAGTTGGAGGGGTTAGGTTGGGGTCAGCATGGCCACACACCAGCCCGGTGAGATAACAGATTCCCCATGAGACTGAGAGCCAGTCAGGCAGAACAGACATATAAACTACTGCAGCGTAAAGTAAAGGGTCATCCTGGCCAACTACTACACACTGGAGGTGAGAGGCTTGGCGGGGTGGTGGATGATGGAGGTAGCAGCAGTGTGTATATCTTCAAGTGTGTGCAAAAAATCCAATCCCTTCAGTAGACCTTTTCTTCCAGGCTGTGTGTGCGCATAAATTCAAGATGAATATACGGGAGAGAATGTGTGTGTGTATGTGTGTGTGTGCCTTACCCTTTAGGTGGATCTTATTTTCCGGGCTGTGCACCAACACCGAGCTAACTGAATCCAAGCTGTCGTAGTTACTGCAGCCGAGAGGTCCCGTCCTTGTTTCTGTTACCTAGGAAACAGAGGAAGGACAGATCTATTTACAATATATATTAGGTTTTTTTATATAATGCCACATTAGCAGTGAATGAGGCAGATGTTTGTTCCCATTTCTGGCAGTCAAGTACACAGCTTGTGGCAGGCGGAGCATGTGAAGGCAGGCAGAGGACTGGATGTGGCAGAGCCCTCTAACAGCAGAGAAAACTATCGCCATCCTTTACTTCCCACCCACACCTGCAGCCACAGCTGCCTGCAATGTGCCGGCTGTCTCATGGAGGGAGAGAGATGAGGAATGTGAGGGAGAGAGCAAGCGCAGGTGTTTTGCGAAAGAGGATTTAAACTTCGAAGCAGCAAAATCGAAGATACAAAGGGAAGGTCGCATTAAGTCAAAGGCCCCGAGCTCTGATAATAACCATTGTTACGTGTGTGTTTGAAAGCAACTAGGTTTGTGGGTGCATCAAATATTAAAGACGTTCTGCATGCTCTTCTTTAAAAATATTAGAGCGCTTACATGCAGTATTTTTGAGTATTTTATTTCCTATATAATAAAGAGAAGCATAGCACACGTTTTATATTTTTTGCTTAAATTATACCCATGGAAATAAATAAACATATATATGTGTATTTATATATTTATATATATATATTTCTTGTTTTTGACTCCAGGGCAAATTTGAGCTATGGCCCCTGTGACCCCTGTTCTTCCCACTCTCCTTGCATTGTGCATGGATCATGCAACAAATGAAACAGCAGGGATTTTACAGTATGTCAGCAACATTGTATTTTGCCCACAACTAACTCCTACAGCTCCTACATCTCTTAAACCATACTGGGTTTAATGTCATGTATTAAACCTCATGTATTAATGTTATGTTGTAATTTGACTATGCACCATGTAAACTTAGTATCTCCTGAAATAATAAAGATTTGAAAACTTTAAAAAGAAACAACAGGCTTAGCCATGGGTTAAACTGAACACAGCATAGTGGATGATTTGAAGGGGACACCACTTCTCTTCATGTCAAGGCCTTCTTTGCCTTCACCTCATCCATTACTTTCTATATTGGGATGCTGTGTACTGTACTTACTTATTAAACGGTAAATGTACTTTACTTATATAGAGCCCTTCTAGTCTTCCAACCACTTTACGCTACATGTCCCATTTATCCACTCACACAGTTAGAGAAAAAGGCCGTCATAAACAGAAACTAACATTCATACACATGCACAGCATCAGGAGACATCTGGGGGTTCGGTATCTTGCTCAAGGACACGTTAACATGCAGTGGGAAGAGCCGCGAATCGAACTGCCAATATATTTGGTATAATGTGTATGGAACTGGAACAATTCTCTAATTAACCTTAAGAGGTAAATACTGAAGTATAAGGTAAGGTCCTTGTAATTTATGTGCGGTATTTAGGAGACCACACATGGAACTCGCTAACCGTTGCACATTTTCACCGCTAGCTAATAAAGACAGCAGATCGTGAGAGTTTTTTCATTCTGCAGTTTGCATACATGTTGGGGCCGCAGGTGTGACGTATCTGTGTGTTTGATGTGTGTGTGCAGCTTGTTGTAGAGCCAAGACCAACATTGATCCTCTATAATGATTCCATATTCCAGCATGATTCAACTACACTACCACTAATGCACATAGAGTAGATCAATGAAGAATGAAGTCATATTCCTTCTACGCCCAAAATAGCACAACTAGACACTTGAAGAAAGGTGTAATATCCTACTACACACTTCGGAATGCAGAATAGCAACAGACAGAGTGGTAATAAAACTGCTCTGACAATAAAGGACTTCTACCTCAGCTGCTTGAAAGTTAAAAATTGAGCATTTCTGTACTTGTCAACACTGTTGTATTTTTAATCATGCACTCTCTCATACTGCCATTCTGTCTTATGAAAAGAACAAAGAAGAATGAACTTCACTTAGTTATATTTGTGCCTCAATATTAACTAAATGGAGTATTTTCTCTGTAAAGAACGAATAAAACCAAGTTACTTTCTGAGCTGAAGAGATGTCCCTGAAATGTCTGCTATTAGGGTCAATGAAATATTAATTGTAGCACAAACATCTGACCTGGATATTAGTGCCTCCAAGATGCATGTCATGGAAAATATGATACAATATTCTACTTTCCATGTTGTGTAAGATGCTCTGTTGTAGGGCTGCTAATTGAAGAAAAAATAATAATGAGAGGAACGTAGAAGAAGTCTAATAGATGAAGAGAGAAAGGGCAAACGTGGGAGAGACTGAAATGAAAAGATCAAGCATGAGACAAAAAGAAGATGGAAAGAAAGATAAATAACATTAAGATAGAAAAAGCAAGGAAACAACTAATAGTTCATTTATGGACCGAGTGTTCAAGATAGTACAATTAGAATAAGGAGATGGATATGAAGCCATTCTCCAGCTAAATCACACAATTTGGCAAATGATGCAGCACATGCAAATTTGCTGTCCCTAAAATAGCCTTGTTCCTCACATCTTCCCACTCTGACTTGCATTCAGATTGCATCTATTATCAAAGGAAATGGAAGCTAGCCTTCAAGGCTACAAAAGATACATATCTCAAACATCTCTCAAATATCTTGAAAAAAAATTGTCTGAAATGTAGTTAAAGATTAGTGAAAGATAAAGGCGAGAAGCAAAGGGAGATTAGTGGAGGGGAGAGAGGCCGTTTTGGGTTGTTGTTTAAGCCACAGATGTGGGAGGAGATAGTGTCTGCTTTAATAATGAAAAAGACTCAGCTGTTGCATCTCATTCATGTTTTTGTACTGACTGGAACAAAGTCAGTTCTCTGTTAAATTCATTCTAAAAGCACTTTGCAATTAAAGTGAATGCAAAGATGCTAGTGGATGCTAACAGGTGCTCATTTGCTTTAGGTGTTGCAAATTAAAGTAAAGAGTGCGTCAGCTTGATTGGTAAATTTGCACTCATCCTGAAGTTGTATGATTACACTTCAGAAACATACTGTACAGAGAAAATGACAGCTGTCTGGAGGAAACATACCACACACAGTATGTTGCCAGCTACCGCTTATGCCAGTACAATATAAGATACTTGGCAGAGCAAGTAAACACAGACTGCAAAAACAGCGTTCAGGAGTTCACTACGTATGAACTTATGTTTAACACCAAATCTTCAAAGCAAACTGACTATATACTTGAGTCTGGGGAAGTACCGGAAGTAAACAAGTCGCCATTAATGCGGTGGCATCTCCCTACTGTATGTGCACATTGGAATGCATGTTGTCCTAAGAGGTGTACATTTTTCTACTTTTCCATTTACTTTCCATGTCACGTTACATTTACAATGCTGTCTGGGAAATGTCAGTTATCAGCTGCTCAAACAGTACTGACAAACTTTGGTAAAAAACTGAATGTGAAATACACAAGTCATTGCTTTATGAAGAGTGGCCCTGTTTTGAGACCATACACTGTACATAGATTCTGTGAGCAGAGGACCAGGATGTTCGCATGACAGGCGATTAATGAATTTATGTTGAATACCTATGAAAAAACATTTAGTTTTTACTAATAAAACGGGTCGGTGGTAATTAAATGTGTTAAATGTATTCTCATTCAGTTGAATGCAGGTACAGTTTCTTTGGGACAGCGCACGGTGGCCATTAGAGGAACTGCATGCTGAGTCACTTCTGCACTGGCTTCAACAGGCACAATGGTTGACTGCACTGTTAGCCCGGATTTCCTATCTAATCAAACAA